ATTTCTTCAAGATGAGCCATTTTTAACGACCCCTCTGGAATTCGAGTATCTTTGAAGAAAATTGGGCGTTTTAAAGTTACCTAGTTGGCGCGTTTCATTCTCACTGATCAATTTTCGCACGTGTCTCAAGAGCAGTATGGCGTAACGGACTTCCGCTGGGCCCCCCTGCAAAATTTTTTCTAGCCGCCCCCCCCCCCAAGTCTATAAAGTTCCAAAATTATCCCCCCTCCCACCCCTTCCCATTTTTTGGCCCGAGGCATCTCAAATCACGGACTTGGACTTAGAATGCCTCACCCCTCACCGTCCCAGATCCCGTACCCGATTATATGGGACCCCTAAAGGATCAAGGATCTAAAGGGTGGCGGGGGCTCAGCCCAGGCCCAAGGATCTACAGAGGGGCCCAGGCCCAAGGATCAAGGCCCCAAGAGCCTTGGGGGGCCTTTAGATTATTGTATCTCCCGAAGCCCGAAATACGAAAAGTGACAAAAAAAGAAAAAAGATTTAGTTATCACTGACAATGAGTGGAAATTGGAAGGCAGGGGCCCTCCAGGAAACAAAAAGTTAGGAACAGTCCAAAAGAAGTATGAAAAACCCTGAGCTTACAATAAAAATCAGAGGAAGAAGCCCCATCTCGGTAAGTAAAGGCCCAAAGTTTGAAACCGAAGCTAAGCATCAAAGAGAGAGAGAAAAAAAAAATCCGGTGGCCGAGGGCCCCCTAGGCGCTTGGGCCCTCCTGCATAGCAGGGTCTCCGGGGGCGCCCGTTATGCCACTGCGCACGTGTCTCAAGACTTATCTAAAAATACATTCGCTCGCTTCGAGTCATATTCAGTGCTTCTGTTCGTGCTGGATCGCATGTTTCAACGACCGTTCGGGTGGACTCCACGCCTCGCCCTCACCGGCAAAAAAGTTCCCCGAACCCTCCTCTCCCCCTCCCCCCNCCCCCCCCCCCCCCCCCCCCCGAGTCAACTGCTCACCCTGGCTAATAACACAAACGGCGCGGAGATTATTGATTTCGAACAATTACACCGCCGCTGCTTTCGCCGAAACCACAGATCTACGTAAGGCTTCCATCGGAGTTACGGGGTTCTTGCCCCAAGGAGCAGATTAGGACCCCCATCCACCCCCACCCCCGCCCCTAGTCCGTATCGTTTCGTTTTGTGTCGCAATTGCACGGTGCATGCCGCAACCCATAAAGAGTATACAGGGTGATTCGGGATTACGTGCAACGACTGCACTGGTGGACTTTTTAGGTCAAAATGAGACCGTTCTGTGGTCAAGTGTCTACAGATCTGAAAAACCAGGAATTATCGGGGAGTCTGGAAAAAATTAAGGGAATTTGATGAAGAAGTCTGAATTTTAAAAAATTTTGGAACTTGAATATTTAAAGAAACATCAGTGTTGTCCACGCAAGCAAACTGAGTTCTAGTCTAGTTCGTTCAATGCTCTGAGACACATTTGAATATTGAAGAGAGGAAAAAGTTAAAATAATGAGTCTAAATTGTACCTCATTAACCGACTGAGGGAAAAAAAAACTCGCATGTTTCTGTAATTGGCAGTGAAGTTTTTGCCAAAAATCATTCATTTTTGTTCTACGTGTACAAACTATGAATGTGAGAAGTCGTAGAATTTAGATCTTTTCACCGAGGAAAATCCTGCGGAAGTCAGAGAATTTCTCTCCGCCAATTCCGCTGACACCCTTCCCTTGTAGAGTATACTATTTTTTCGTATTTGTAAATCGCTCATTTACGGAATCGAAGCTCTGAAAGTTTAAGAGGATATACGTGGTATTTTTTCACATTATGAAAATGTTGACAGATCCCGCGAGATAAAAACTAACAGCCGTGCACCTCTGCTGTGGATAATTTTTAAGCGTTTCTCTCAGGTTTAAGCGCAAGAAAGGGGTCAATTAATTCATTCTACGGCACGCTGCTTTTGAGAGGAACCGAGCCCTCAAATGATCAAAGTTATGGATCTCAAAACCATTTAGATAATGATCCATTTTCTCATTTTTAAAATTGATAATCATCAGAGCGTGTTCAATTACCCACAGGTAAAATTATTTTCAAGTAATTTTACCTATACCCGTTACCACCGTAAAAAAAGACGGGAAAAAATCATTCGCTCGAACCTTGGTAGGGGCTGAAGGAAATAAAGGTTGTGTAATTTAAAAGGAAGATTTGAATATCGATTGAATATGATTTCTCTACTTCACAGTAACAGATAAGACGCTACGGACGGATCGAGAAATCGACTGAAAAGTCAAGATGAGGGAATGGGCTCCGCAGACGCAGATGCGTGGGAGAAACAGAGCTAAAAAAATCGTAAAATAATCTCAAGGGCACAAGTGCATAAGGGCTGGTCCCTGTGCTAGGTTGTCAGATTGATTATTGGATATTTACATATTTACAACAGGGGCGCCATTTGAATCGTATGGCTCAAAAAAATGCAATATTTTTTTTCCTTTCGAAAGTTTTTCCTCGTCTCTTTCCAGTCAATCTTATTCCTTCCAGTAAATTTATTCCCATCTCAGAAAAGTGATGCTGCTCTAAATACGCCCTCTGTTAAAACCAGACCACACACGGAAAAAAATGAGGTCAGAAAGGTCGTTTCTTGAGGAAAGAAAAATGAGATTGCGTTTTTTTCAAACCACACGATTCAATTAGTGATAGTGATAGTGATGTATCGATCGATATTTCCGGGAAAATTTTGCTCAATTTGAGAGGATTTTATGAGATTACTCCGAAGTTTTAACCCATCCTTTTAAAGAGAGAAAACACTTCACCCCCTCCTAACAACAGTTGCTCCCTTCCCCTCAAATTTCGGCGACCCTGAACTTTTGAGGCGCCCTTAAGATGAGCGGTTTTTTATTTTTATTTCTTTATTTTTTGTAAAAACACAATTTTCACCTCAAACGTTTGCTTTTTAACCTTTAGAATCGGTCCATGAATTTGTTTATCACCCTGTATTTTCGTCTGGCTGTGAGTCATGTTCGGCGCTTGCGTTCGTCCTCGGGTCGATGCCGAAGGAGGATGATGCGGTCGGGGGTAGGGGGGCACCCGGGGCACGGAGAGGGTGAGTGGGGGAGGGGGGCGCCGTGGCACCACTCGAGAGGCCGAGGCTGGAGAGGTTAAATGAGGGATGGCGCGATAAGAGAAAAGAGGAAAGACAGGATCTCAACTTTTCCCGCAGCCTCCCGCTGCCGCTCGATCAAGAATTCAAGAGCCTCTTGTTTCCTCCGCCGTGCTAAGGAAAAACGCCGTATGAACCTTCAGGCGTTGCCAAATTTCGATCGATAAAACACGAATTTTCTGGTAAACTTATGGATATTTTTCTACCAATTTTTCAGATAATATTGTTCACAATTTCACCTAAGGTTCCTGAAAATTTCAAGGAAAAATATTCGTAATTTCACTGAAAAATAAGCCATATATCGAAGGAAATTTGGCAACTCTCGAATGTTCGTACGGCGTTTTTCCATAGCACGGCAGTCCTGGTGTCTGAGCTGGCTCTCGGCCATCCTGGACCCCGGGTATGTTGATGGAATGAATGTCCTATGCATCATTCATAAGAGGGCGCTAGCGCTCTGCGAAGTGCCGTTCGTTAATGAAGTATCTCTCTTGTGTTTTCCAGCACATGTGTCTCCTCTCGAAAAGAACTTCTTTTTTGAGAACTCTCTTGTCAGGTGCATGGACAGAGAGAAGGTAGGGTGGTAGAATTACAAAAAAAAAAATGTCTGAAGTGGCATACAGACGACTCGGGGTGTTTTTAGGAACCCACCGTAAAATTCTGTGAAGTTTCGCTTTGAAACAGTGAAAAAACGGGGTGGCGAGTTCTTGAAAAATTTATGGGAGACCTGGAAATCAGAAAATTTTACTCAGTCGTGAAAATTCTGGAAAGCTCGCTTTCAAATCATCAATATAATGGCGTTTTCGTTACTTTCGGAAGGCTCTGATCTTTTCCATGTCTGCTATCGACGGATATTGACTTTCGTCCTTGATCTATATCGTAAAACGGATTCTCATGATCAACATCTCCAAAAAATCATGGAAAAATCAGTAAATTTTCAGTTCAAACCTTGGAGAATGCAGAGAAAATGTGGAAAGTCAGTAAATTTTACTTAATCTTGAAAATTCAGAAAAGTTCATTCTCCCATCACTAATTTAGTCGTTATTTTGAGACTTTTGAATGGCTCTAATCCTGATCACTTCCTTGTCTGTCGGTGAATCTTGGGATTTCGCTCCAAACCTGTCTCGTGAAACGGATTTTCACGCTCAACATCTTTGAAAAGTCAGAAAAAAATTAGTAAATTTTCAGTTCAAAAACCTTGAAAAACCTGGAAAATTAAATTGACCCTACAATTTATACGCGAATCGTCACTTCGTAATAGTTTCTCTACCAGAGGTGCATTGCAAACGTAGACGGTAGAGTGAGTGGCCGACGCAGTAACTTCGAAATCGCGATCATTGCCAGCAGTGACGCGCCTTCATATGCAGAGCTATGCAATCGTGTTATGAATTTGAAGGAATGAATCTAGATCGACTTCGATGCGGTCGCGAAACTATCCTCGCGAATGTCTGCAATGTGGATGTCGTGAGGAGTTCATACCCTGTATTTTACTTTATTTTAATTGAAGAATATCACAGATGAAGGAGATGGGTGTTCTCTTCCTCTTCTACTACTTTTTTTCAATAGAGGCATGCCATTTCAAGTAAGACTTGTCTCAAGACATAGGCACTTTGTGAAAAATGTAAAAAACTTATAAGTTATATTTTTCGCCTCAATGTGTCAGTTTTTGGTCATTCGAATCTTTTTGTGCTTCTATGTATATTTTCCACGGGTTTTTTTCCAAATGCTTGTTCCTCAAAATTAGAAAAATGTCACTCGACGCTTTCATCTGAAATGTCTTGCAGTTTTTACTTCAACTGTTGCGAGACCTTGATCTCCTCGATATTTTTACGTACAATCGATAAATTATATTTTTATTTTTGGTTTGTTTCAGACTAAAAACCCCTGAACAGATCTGAGAGCACTCATCATGTCGTCCGTCAAAGTAGCCGTAAGGGTTCGTCCCTTCAACAATCGAGAGATAGTCCGAGAAAGTAAATGCATAATCGAGATGGCTGGATTTACCACTTGTAAGTACCTTATCACTTAGCTGTGTTCCTACTTCACACACTGGACCAAGTCAGTAGGAGAAGTCGTACGAATGGAAACTTTAAACACTTATAACTCCGTTTATACAAAAAGTTGAGGTTCAAAAGAGGTTTCATTGGTTTTCTCGTGAAATTTTCTTCCAGAAGCACCCCTTAAAATTTAAAATTTGACAAAATAAACATCAAAATTCGCACTTTTAGTCAAAAATTTCATGTCCGACCTCTCTAACTGACTCGATCCAGTGTGCACCACGCCCACAGTTTATTGTTCCGTATTAAATCCTAAAGTTTTTGTTTGAGGTTATGTTCTATTGTTTTGAACCAAACGGTACATCGAACCACTATCGAATACGATCTATGTAGATACGCCCTCATGGCAGAGGAGGATCGTTTTGTACAAAAAACTAGTGGCATTCACAATCAGCTTTACGAAGATAGAATTACGATTCCGTCGGCTTTGAAACCGGTTCGTCTCCAACACTAATTATTTCATTTTTTTCTGTTTAATTAAAGACTGAGTAATACTTGAAATTTTGACCAGACGCGACGTCCTTGAGAGCATAAGGTAGCAATTAGCATCAAAAAGGAAACTTTTAATTCTGAAATGAGCCATTTTTGCACTGCTGTTACGAGCTGTCACCTCGAGCTACATTAAGTTTTCTGGGTCCGGCATCGTCTTATTTTTTACATTGAATAATTTAAACTCCCGGTACTCATCATTCCCTGCGCTTCCGTTCTGGTGCTGGGGTCGTTCGCGCAACCACGACCAGTGGCGTGGCGTGCTTTGCGATTCATCGATAGATTTGCCATTTAAACCTATGGAAAATGATCGATAAACAGGATGTTCGCATTGAACACCTTAATAATCGATTCTTTACCACAACTTCAAATGGGGAAATATCGATAATCGATATCACGCCTCGCCACCAGTGTTGGGAAAAAATTATTTTAAAATTATTCGTCCAAAAACGAATAATTTGTTCAATCGTGAATGTCGATTTACAAATAATTCGTCTCCTGATTATTTGGTGAAATAATCGAGACCAAATAAATTGTCTAATTGTGCGCGCCGATTGAAAAATAATTTGTCTACTAATTATTTGGTAAACTAATCGGGACCGAATAATTCGTTAGTTCTCAACTGACAACTGACCAAATTATTCGTAGGTCGTCAATCCGACAACTAATAGGGGCCGAATTATTCGTCAATCGTCGGAAACAACTAACGA